TTTCCCGCCGGGCAGCTCCCAGCCGCTCCTCCCCACGCCTGCAGCGGTGCCTGGGGTTGTTGTGCCCCAAGTGCAGGACCCAGCCCTGGGCCTTGTTGACCCTCACCCAGTGCCTGGGCCCATGGCTCCAGCCTGGCCAGAGCCCTCTGCAGAGCCTCCCTGCCCTCCAGCAGGTCAACGCTCCCGCCCGACTGGGTGTCACCTGCAAACTGACTGAGGGTGCCCCCGATCCCCTCGTCCAGATCTTTGATAAAGATATTAAACAGAACCGGCCCCAGTACCGAGCCCTGGGGACCACCACTGGTGACCAGCCACCAACTGGAGTTAACTCCATTCACCACAACTCTTTGGGCCCGGCCATCAGCCAGTTTTTTATCTGAAATCCCACCCTATCCCTTGGCAAGTTGTCTTAAATCGATGTTTTTTTGCAAGTGCTGCCATGTGGATTCTCTGCTGTCTAATAGGGTTGAGCGGAGCTGAACCTCGCTCCCAAGCGGGAGCACAAGGAGTTTCTCCCCCCCTTATTCCACTGCTGGGTTTTATGGTTTATAGCACATCTTTGGGATTTTCACTCTTCTGGTGAGCGTGGATGAGACTGGGGGTGGCTCTGGCCTTACTGGTGGAGCCACTGGTGTAAGGATGGGTAAAAGCATGCATTGCACTTGCAGCATCTCATCCCCTTGCAGCTGAGGATTCAACAGTCCTCTTCCAACCCTGAACCCAGGGGCGAGCGAAAGGACATAAGTGGCCACCAATTTGGGGGGGAATAAATAACCCAGGGTTTCTCTGCCGCTTGCAATGGACCTCAAAGGGCTGGGGAGTCATCCCCCCACCCAGGCACCAGCCCCTTGCCCCAGGGCTTTGCTGGCCACGGCGCTGAGGGACATCACCAGCAGCTCCCCCGCTGCTGAATATCGTAATTAAGACCAAAAATTGAAATTAAAATGAACAGCGTGTTGCTTCAAAATGGCCTTTGAAGGGACTCATGGCTCTTGTCCCCCTGCCCTGTTGCCCTGAGGATGAGCCTCATCCTTCCCATTGCAATAACTGGGGGGAAAAATGTCTCTTTGTCTGTCTTGGGGCACAGATTTGGGGCAAGAAATGCTGGTTTTGGTGCCCAACAGGTGCTAACATGGCAGAGCCAGCCCTGTCTGCCCAAAACCGCATCCATCCCGCAGCCGGTTTTAGCAGGACGCTAACTGCTTATTGTAATTAAAGCTTTTGTAATTAAAGCTTATTGTAATTAAAGTTTTATAGGATGGAAAATCCCTGGGATTTAGGACGGGGAAAGGGCCAGGCCGCAAGGGAGCCTGGTGCATTGGGTTTGCCCATTCTTGATGCCGCGCATCCCCTGCCCACCCTCGCACGGCAGACTGAGCACGGAAACATTTATTGGTAGCAACTTAAAAAAAAATATATATTAGACTGATTTCCAAGAGGTTCTTGTCACGATCAGTAGTGGCAGCAGGAACAGCAGCAAAACTGAATTCAAGTCCAGGTATTGCAAAAAGCCCCCCTTGCCCTACACGGGTCCGGCTGTGACCTGCTGCGTGAGTCCTGTCCCCACCTTGAATGCCACCACCCCAGAGCTGTCCCCGAAGGGACAACGGTGTCTTACAGCTCCGTTGCTGTGGCATTGCTGGCTGGTACTTGGTAACTTGGCGTTTCTCTTTTTTTTTTTTTTTTTTTTTTTTTTTTTTTTTTTTTTTTTGCTGTTTGAGCTCATTTTTGAGATGAAGTGACGCCAAGGGCTGGAAAAGCCCTTTGGGCCCTTGTCCTCCAGCCTGCATGGGTGTCCCCTGCCCCTGTCCTACCAGCATTGCATGGGCTGGGTAGAGAAAAACTTTTAAAAATTTAGAAGAACAAAAAAAAAAATTCAAAAATTGAGTTTTTCTCTGCAATTCAAGGTGGGGAGTGCCCCCAGCCCAGGGACACTTGGCTGCTGACCTTGGAGGGGGGAACATGGAGGTGGCTCAGAGCTGCAGCAGCGCAGGGGGGGCCGTGCCGGCTGGGAGACGGGCAGCGATCAGCCCCGTGCAACCCTGCAAAGTCACCCAAAAGCAGCCAAAATTCACCCGGAGGGACAGCGCAAACAGCAGAACGACATTGCCAGCTGCTAAGCCAGGCAGGAGGTGGCGGCGCCGACCCCCCAGCCCCCAAAACACGCGCGAGGGGAGCTGCTGCTCTCTTGACACCCTGAGCCGAGCGCGCTGCCGTCCCCGGGCTCCCTGAGCTTTCTCTTGCACCCAAACTCACCCCAGCTAAAGCGAGATTGCAGCCTCCCTCCAGAAGCAATTACGCACGCTGCCATCCATACAAAGCTGCAGAGGCTTTTAAAACTTTAACTAGGCACCCAGAAGTTTAAAAAAAAAAAAATATCAATGATCTGGAGGTTTTTTCCCTAAGCATCTCTCGTCTGCAGACCAGACAGCAAGGGAAAGCCTGGCTGTGGTGGAGCAGCACCGGGCTCAGCCCGCTGCTGCCTATGAGCCGAGGTCTCAGGGGGTCAGAGGAGGAGGATCTGCTTTGAGGACGTGAAGGGCTTCATGGATGCCTCCAGTGCTGCCTTGTAGTCCTGGAGCGGGACCTCGGTGCAGGCCGGTGCGGTGAGCTGTCCCCTGCGGATGAGCTGGCACAAGGTGTCCATCATGCTGGTCAGGCTCTCCTGGTCTGCAGGGGAAGGAGGGAGCTCTCACTGCTGCATGTCCCACGCCTGTGCCGTGCCAGAGCAACCGACTGTGCCCATGGAAACACCCGCCTGACGCCATACAGGGTCCCGGGGACGCCAGGGTGCGATGTGCTCCCAGCTCGCGACGGGGCAGGACCCCCGGCATGGTGGCATCGCCCAGCGCCTGCCTTTCAGCCACCCTGAGGACTATCAGCACTCGCGACACAAGTAACAATGAAGAGGACGGCACCGGCGTGACGGTTTGGCACCCATTCCCGTGCTGACCCGCCGCACCGGTGCCATCCCTCAGCACCCATCTGGCTCACCCTGCGCGTGGTCCTTCTTCCACTGGGTCATCCAGAAGCCACGGAGCCGCAAGTCCCGGAAGATGAACACGCTCTGCGGAGAGAGGGAGCCGTGCACCCAGGTGAGACCCGTCCCCTCCCGGTGCGACAGCGGTGGAAGGTGGCAATGAGGCTCCTCGCTCCTTCATTAGCGCTCTCATTTGTGAGTCAGGGCACAGCGGGATGCAGAGATGCGACTCCGAGGCGTGGAGTCAGGGCAGGTTTGATGCTTAGCATCTGCGGAGCCATTTCCCCACTGGGATTTCACAGCAGCCCAAATCCTCCATAAATAAAGCCCAAGAGGCCTGCACTGGGATGCAAAGCAGCTTGTCCCATAACGGACCCCATCAGTTAAATAAAAAGAAGGTTGGAGGCTCTCCATTTGCAGGCAGGGGAGAGCTGAGCTCCTGCAGTGCCATGCAGGAGCCGAGGGGATGGGGACATCTGCAGTGGGACACAGGGGACATGCCTCGAGGGAAATCAAGAGCATCCCCAGTACTCACCACAGGCACCATCACAGGCTGCTTTGCCATCCCCCCATAGGTGACCACAGTCCCTTTGGGCCTGGAAGAGCAAGGGGGTGTTTGGTTATGCGGTCCCCAACATGCAGCTTGGACCTTGCGACCTCTCCCTCTGCTGTGCCCAACCCCACCGCTGCACCGATGGGGCTGTTCTCGCACCGAGGGCTCCCCCAGTTACCCCTCAGACCCCACTTTCTGGAGCTCCCCTCTCGATCCTATCCACCATTAGCTGAATTTGCAGCTAAATACACCAGTTATACCTGGCCAGGACCTGGTTGGACCTTCATAACTGGAGCTGCCTCCAGCCACCAGCAGCGTTTGAGACACACAGTGATGATGGGTTAACTTTAAGTCACTGCTATTTTCCAAAACCAGTTCTTCTCCACCCATCTCCCCTCTCCAAAACTTCAGTGATGACCAACATCAGCTAACATCTCCAGCCACCTCTTGTCCTCTGGGGGCTCCGGAGCAGGACCCTCCGGTGCTGGCTGCTGTCCCCAAGCCCTCACCCAGCCAAACTTACTGTAGATGCCGCAGCATCTCCGTAGTGCTTTTGCCTCCGACGCAGTTCAGGGCGAGCCGGGGCTTCGGGATGCTCTGCAAGAGTTTATTAAGAAGGTTCCCAAATTGTAGGGCTCCTTTTGAGGATGGGACCGCGGTTCTTGAGGGAGCAACTGCCTTAACCTCAACATTTACCTGGGAGCAGCTAAGAGTCGTAGAGCTAAAATCTATGATCTGGCCCTGCGGTAGCAGCAAAAGCCCTCAACTTCTGGGGCTAAATCCTGATCTAGAGAGATATTTGCCCTTCCCACCATCCCTGCACCCTTTCCCACAGCGCTGAACCACAGGGACAGCCCTGCGTGGTCTCTCCAGTGGGATCAGCATTGAGGTACCTTAAATATATCCTTCATCTCTGGCTTTCTCAGCATCTCCTCCGTGACGACATGGTCTGCGCCCAGGGCCATCAGCCTCTCCACCAGCTTTGAGAGATCAGGTCTGGGGGAGAGGGGGAAAAAAAAAAAAAAAAAAGGACTCAATGAGCCAGAAAGCAGCACCACCTTCTCCTCCCTCCTGCTCAGACGCAGCTTGGGGACAACAGGGCAGAGGCTGGAGGACACCCTGGAGGAGCAAACGGGTTGCAGGCTGAACCACAGGAGAAAATCCCAGGTTGGATGGACAGGACAACCAGATCCTGCCCCCAAACTTGCCTGACCTCCTGCCAGCCTCCAGCCCACGCTGAGGGCAGCTCCTGCTCTGTAGGAGACCCTCTCCCCTCCCTGGGGACTCACCTGTCCCTCACCACGTTGATGGTCTTGATGCCGGAGGCTTTGGCGATCTGGATAACAGCCTGGCCCACGCCGCTGTTGGCAGCGTTCTGGATGACGGAGTCACCTGGATATAAATATATCCAGATTTTCATTGCAGGAGCGACTGGCAAATCCACCCGGATTTCTTTCCACCCGGCAAAGCCGTACCTGGCGCCAGGGTCTCGAAGTCAGTCAGCATGCGGTACGCCGTGCAGGGGTTGACGCTCAGGGTGGCGGCGCACAGCACCGGGATGTCGCTGGGCACTTTCAACAGCGTCTCCTCGGGGAACACCCCCTGCGTCCGCCACGTCCCTGGGGCACCGGCAGCATCGCAGGCAGCGCGGCAGGGAGGTGGGCAAGGAAAGGAAAATGTTAGGAGACCTCAACTCATGCCATAGCCTTAACACTGGTCGCGGCAGCATCACCACGCCAGGCACGGTCTAAATCCCAGAGAATGAATTATGAAACATTTTCCCGTATGGGTACGGCCAAAATACTGCGAGAGGCAGGGGCTGGATCCCCCGCTGCCCACCAAGATTTATCACCCAGCAAAGTCTAATCATTTCCCAGAGGGATAACGGGAGCGGGGCTCCCCGGGCGCAGGGAGTGTGTGCAGAGCTAATGGAAATACTCCCCCCCTATGGATGAGCCCATGCATTCAAAGCCAATTTAGTTAGATTTACTCCCTCTATATATCTGATTTAACCCCCTATCATCCATTTCCTTTTTTTATGTTTAAAAATCTCACATTTGGATCTTAACTGGATTGCTTTCATTCTCCCATTAAGCAAAAAAGCCTTTTAAGAAGAAATAGGCAAGGAACAAGCTGTTAGGCTAAACCAGGACGGACAATTTTTCTGGCCATTGGCATTCTGGAGGAGCACAAGAGACATTTGTTGGAAAATAAATTCTCCTGCTTTCCCATCAGAGCACTATTGAGGAGAAAACTGTAATGAGATGTAACCATGACCTTGCACAGGTTAACTGCTTTATCCCGGGTCTTTAAAGAAGCTCTCAGTAGATGTGACAAAACACGGTTGTTTCCAGAGAAGCACAGATTGCTGCAATGCTTTATAGCGGCACAGAAGCCCCATAAAGGGTCTATGCTATAGAAAAGTAGATTATTTCTAAATTCAAGTTTAGCATAAGCAATGGCATCGCTACTGCTCCTCTTGCAAGTGCTCCGGGTTTTGCACTGCATGTGTCCCCTTCTCTGGGGACCCCCGTCCTTCCCTGGGGACCCCCTGCATCTGCAGAGGGCCAGCAGCATCACTCGCTGGGGCTGGGGATCAGGTACTGAGCTCGCTTTAAAAAAAATACATTAAAAATAAAAATACGTGGCAGAAAGAATAAAACTTATACCAAGATATACACAGGTAAGAAATTAAGAGGTCTTTGTGCAGCTCCAGCGGTTATCCCAATGCTTCTTGCCTGAGACAATCCAGCCCATTATATTTATGATTAGGCTAATACGGCACTAAATGGGTTCCAACTGCTGCTTCCCTCGCCCGGAACATTCTCTAATGGAGCTTTTTTTTTTATTTTAAGTCACATCTGATTAGATGTAATCACTATAAGCGGGAGATGCATGTGGCTCTACCCACACCCAGCAAAGACGGTGCTTTGGAGAGGAGCAGTTTTGCTCCGGGACCCCCAAAATCCCCGCACCAGCTCCCCAAGCATCAGTTTGCACGAGAGCAGGACCACGGGTTTACTCTCTGTGCATGCCTGGGCCGCTCCTGGCGGGCTCGAGCATCCCAAAAATCCCCTCAGAAGATGCTTTGCAGGTGGGGGGATGCAGAGGAGGACCTCACCGCCAAGCAAGGATCCAGCGGTGCCGTGGCTCCCGGGGTACGCACTCACCCAGTCCAGTGGTCGCCGGGATGACCCAGTCCCCGGGTTTCAGAGCCGCCACGCGACGCCCAACCTCCAGCACTTCCCCGACGCCCTCGTTCCCTCCCACGGCCGGCAGCGGGGAGAGGATGGCATAGGTCCCTGCCGGGAAGCCGGAGGTGAGCTGCGGAGCCCGTCATACCCCAGACCTCCCCATCCCAGGAGCCAGCTCCAAACCCTCCGAGACATCCCGCCGGGAGCATCCCGCAGGGATCAATGTACAAAAAAGATGCAGCCAGCACGTTACCTTGGATCATATTGATGTCAGCAGGATTGATGGGGGCTGCCAACATCTTGACGTGGACATCGGAGTCCCCCAGCTTGGCCACCTCGAGGTCCTTTAGTCTGAACAGGGAGAGACAAAGGAAAAGTGCATTAATACAGGCTTGGCTGACGTCTTCTGCACTTTGGTTTAAGCTGGAAAGAGCCGCCTGTATCACCTACACAACACATTAGACTTAAAATAAACAGCACTGTATTCCCCGCCTCATCTATATTGCTGTAGCCTGGTCTCCTCCAGCAAAGAAATCCGACGTCCAACTTAGCCGAGCCCATCGAGACTCCTCTGTGCCCTGGGAGCAGCAGGGAGCAATGCCTGTATCCACCCCTAAACCTCACACCCTCAGCCGGGGTGAGGAACAAACCCTAAATGCTCACTGCCTAGAAAAAAGCCCCTCCAAGAGGGCTGATGCCCCCAAGCCCTTTGCCATGAGGCTGTTTTAAATGCAATGAGGATGCTCTTACACCAAGGGAAGAGCAGGGCTGGGTAATTTAGCTCATCTCCCTCCCAAAAACGCATCCTCCTGGCATGCACGGCCCCGGGGAACTGCAATATAAAGCTTTTGGGATACCTTGGGTCTTGCAAGGGGAGGGAAAAGCTCCTCCAGAAAATCCAGCAGCACTGTGACAGAGACCAAGGGGAAAGAGGAGCCGGGGGCTCGATGCCTGCCTGACCCATCTCCCAGCCAGGGCGAACCCATCCAGCCGTGCCCGTTTGCAAGATGAAGCCAATTTTAACTACATTTAAACGA